AAGAAAGTTTCAGGTCATCATACATATTGGTAATTTTAATTTAAAAAGTAAAAATATTTTGTTAATGTTTGGGGACAGACTGAGGAATTTAAAATAATTGTAATACTATATAAAGCCTAGTAAATTGTGGTGCTTCATTAGTTTTATAAAGAGTTATCTAAGGTTTAACTGTCTTCAGAAAGACAAATTATCTATTGTTGTGTCTTCCAGTATAGCAATGTGTGGTTCCACAACCAACCTTGAAGTTACCTTGAGGTTACCTTGAGGTGCTTCCGGGGCTTAGTGTCCCCTGCGGCCCGGTCGTTGACCAGGCCTCCTGGTTGCTGGACTGATCAACCAGGCTGTTGGACGCGGCTGCTCGCAGCCTGACGTATGAGTCACAGCCTGGTTGATCAGATATCCTTTGGAGGTGCTTATCCAGTTCTCTCTCTTGAACACTGTGAGGGGTCTGCCAGTTATGCCCCTTATGTGTAGTGGAAGCGTGTTGAACAGTCTCGGGCCTCTGATGTTGATAGAGTTCTCTCTCAGAGTACCTGTTGCACCTCTGCTTTTCAACGGGGGTATTCTGCACATCCTGCCATGTCTTCTGGTCTCATGTGATGTTATTTCTGTGTGCAGGTTTGGGACCAGCCCCTCAATTATTTTCCACATATAGATTATTATGTATCTCTCCCGCCTGCGCTAAAGGGAATACAGATTTAGGCTCTTTAGTCGGTCCCAGTAGTTTAGATGTTTTACAGAGTGGATTCTAGCAGTAAAGGATCTCTCTAACCAAAGAGGGGGTTGTTGCAAACGAGGAAGAGTTAAGAGGAACAGGGGAATGGGCTCAGTTCAAGTTGTTCAGAGGAATTATTAGCATCAGGAATCAAGTCTGATCATAAGTCTATTAGTTGGAAGACAAGCAGTTGGGACTTCCAGAGTGGGTATGCTCCCTGGCCTGGCTGCCTACAACAAGTACCTTGGGGGTGAAAAGAAGACCGAGGCATATTCATAAAAAAATAAACAAGGTCTTCACATCCCAGTGTCTTAAGACACAAAGGAACCCAGCAAAGTGAGCAGGTGTGGAGTAAGTACCCAGAAACAATAACGTAGGAATACCGTAGTATATACAGGTCTCTATTGGGGAGTTTGACAGTACACTAGGAACCAATAAGGGGTGCTGATCCTTATCAGCGCTCGCTGGACCATAGTCTAGCCATACCAGCCAAATGATTAAGCCAGGCAGTACTAAACCTCATGTTTTACCCGCCCCTCACCAAGGTTGTCCCTGAATAAGCTGTGACACCTCTACACATAGTTCTCAGATGTAGAACAGGGAATACATGGATCATGTGTACTGCAAATACATGAGTGGTTAGGAATTATAGGACCAAGTTTTTCCTCCCAGTCTTCACTCTAGACCAGAAGTGGAGCTTCATGAAGCCCACTCAGCTGCCCTATAGATGCCTGCATAATTTGTTACACTCAGTAAAAATAGCAAACACTTCTCTCAATACATTAAATTTATCACTATGTTATAAACATTTATTCAAACTGGAATTAATGAATTATGACACTTCATCAAAGTTGTTGAATACTTATTGCATTCCCACAAATGATGAGTGGAAGCTGGCAAATTTCTCTTTCGTTAGAGGCAGGACAATGAAAGGTATAGGGCAAACCCAAAGATATAAGGAAACAAGGCAAGAATGAAAGCATCGAAAATTCTCACAAACAAAACCACAGTAAAGAGATGGGGGTACCAGAGCAAGGAATAATTACTTCAAAATGATAACGGAAGCAGAAAATCAGTTTGAAAATGACATTGCAGCTGAAGCAAAGACTCAACCCAAATTGCTCCAGTCCCACCAGAAGGAAAATATTAGTTAAGGAACAAGTGATGAAACTGAGGATAGGACAGGATTCATTCACTGAGAATGAAGAACTCAACAGGAGGTTCCAGGTCTTGACAATAGAGCAACTAGATCCTGAGTTAAGGGGGATGAGAAAACCAAGCAACACTGATTCAGATATAACTGGAGACAAAGTAAAGAAAACACATGATGGAGCTAGGCACAACTAAGGCTGTGGGACCAGATATGATATCCCCATGGATACTAAGAAAGAGCGGAAGCCTTGTGTTGGCTACTTACAATAATATACAGTATAAGAAGTCACTGGATACAAGAGAATTGCCACTGTTAAAAGACAGTCAATGTAATGCCAATATACAAAAAGGAAAATAGATAGGGGGCAATAAACTACAGGCCCTTGTCCCTTACTTCTGTATCATGCTAGGTAATCAAGCAAATAAGAGGCTAGTAGAACATCTGAGGAGAAGGAACTTTTTAAACACAACACCAGCATGGTTTCAGAGATGGGAAATTCTACTTCACAAATTTGATAGTTCTATGAATGAGTGACAGATTAGACAAGACAGAGAAGGGTGGGTAGATTGCACACACACTATTTTTGAATTGTCAGAAAGCCTTCCACACAGTACCCCACAGGAGACTGGTACACAAAATGGAGAAAGGCAGGAGTGACCAGAAGGTACTCCAGTGGATAAAGGAGTACCACTGCAATGGAATAGATATTATCACAGTAAGAGGAGAGGCCTCAGAGAGGCAGGATGTTGCCACTGGCATTTCACAAAGGTCTGTTGTGGGACCAATCTTAGTCCAAAATCTATGTGAATGACCTATTAGTGGGGATAGATTCTTTCCTCTCAATGTTCACTGACAGTGTAAAAATTATAAGAATACAATCATCACAAGGCATACAATGGAAGACTGCATGAAACTACAAGTGGACCTGGATACAATTAAAGTATGGTCCATCAAGTGGCTATTTGAGTTCAACCCAAGCAAGTGCAAGGTAATGAAGTGAGGTACTGGGAACCACAAACATGGGAGAGGAAATCATATTGGAATCAGACAGAAAAATACTTGGGGATTGATATTACAAATATTATTACCCTAGCCTGTCCCCAGAAGCCCACAGCAAAAGAATATCTTCAGCTACATAAGGAAGGTTGGTTAATATAGGAAGTGCCTTTAGGAATCTGAACAAATCATTTAGAATCTTGTATATCATTTGTTACATCAATTCTGGATTATGTGGCACCTATGTTGTTCTTTTGTTAAACCCAAAATGAAGCTAGAGAAAGTTGAGGTATGCCACCAAACTAGCCATAGAACCGAGATGTATGAGCTATGAGGAAAGACTACGGGTGAAAACCTCACATCACTAGAAGTTGTGATGAAGGAGACACGATTACCACATACAAAATGCTCAGAGGAATAGACAGGGAAGACAAGGACAGACTATCAAGCAGAGGTAGTACACAGACATGGTAACAAAGATGAAAACTAAGTACATACCCAAATGACACAAAGACATTAGAAAGAAATTTTTCAGTGAGAGTAGTGAACAAATGGGATGTACTAAAATTGAATTGGTGGAGGCGGACTCCACACACACCTCTAAATGTGGGTATGATAGAGCCCAATATGCTCTGAAACCTATACACCACTTAATTAAGTGTTGAGAGGTGGAATGCTAGAACTGTGGCTCAGCCCCGGCAAACATAATTAGGTGACTATTGTTCAACAATAATTTCAATGGGTGCTATCCTTAAAACATTACTAAGAGAATGACCATTAGCTGTGATATTAGTGAGTGGCCTGGAGAGGCCATTCCAGACTGACAACCAGAGCACAGCTCCATAGTCTCCCGAGACTGATGGATTCTTACTAATAGTCACTTTTAACAAGTCACATCTATTTAATCATTAATGAAAAATAATAGAATTGTATAGTATCAGGTCAACAAACTCTTAAATACTGATATTATTTTAGTTAGTTAAAAGTATTAAAACTGCATTAACGGGTAAATAAAATGTATTAGTAGCAACACCCATATTCCATATCTATTGACAACACTAATAAATCCTTAAGGAACACAAACAATAATAAATGGCCTTTTAAAATTTACATAACTTTCATACAATTGATACAAACATGAATTCTACACCTCAATGGGATACCAGTTATGTTGTATGGTTCATCCAGTTATTAGATACGGTGCTGAATGCGAGTTGTTGCTGGAGACAACAACACTCCTGCCAGCGTGTTGCTGGAGAGCCCCGCCAGCGTGTTGCTGGAGAGCCCCGCCAGCGTGTTGCTGGAGAGCCCCGCCAGCGTGTTGCTGGAGAGCCCCGCCAGCGTGTTGCTGGAGAGCCCCGCCAGCGTGTTGCTGGAGAGCCCCGCCAGCGTGTTGCTGGAGAGCCCCGCCAGCGTGTTGCTGGAGAGCCCCGCCAGCGTGTTGCTGGAGAGCCCCGCCAGCGTGTTGCTGGAGAGCCCCGCCAGCGTGTTGCTGGAGAGCCCCGCCAGCGTGTTGCTGGAGAGCCCCGCCAGCGTGTTGCTGGAGAGCCCCGCCAGCGTGTTGCTGGAGAGTAGAAATGGTGTTTTGGCACCGTGCCGATGCTGTGTAGGAATGACCCATGATTTACCAAGAAAGGTGAACTCGCCGACATGAGGACGATAGAAGATAGACTCAGGGAGGGAACCTTGAGTGGTGTACAATAGAAGATAGAAATGGACTCACCACGAAAGAAGATTGCAGAAGTTTTATAGTGTCCTGTACGAAAGTGACACCTGCAGTGTTATATTATATATATATATATATATATATATATATATATATATATATATATATATATATATATATATATATACACACACACACACACACACACACTTAGGTAATTACACACAAGTACACTTGGTGAAGGTTCTGTTTAGTGTTGTTTACCCGCCCTTTTCTTTCAGGTTAATTATTACTGGTAGTTCTTAATAACTTACCAATGACTTGGGGTGGGATCAAGTAAGAAGAGGCACTAAGGCCCCATATACAGTTTGATAAGTAAAAAACCTGGTTACATGACTGACGCCGTAACAATGCCATTAACTACAGTACTTATATGTATTAATTTATAATTATATATTAATAAAATTCCATTACATTTTACAATAAATTATTTATTCACTATACTGTACATTAATCTCATGTTATCATATAATGTACCTGTATTTTAATACAAAATTTACATCAAAATATGCACAAACTCAATAAGTGCTCAGACTGCATTAAATTGAGCTCCACAATCACAGTAGATATGCAATACTATATTCAAAAACTATAATTGTGTAAAGTTCTTAATACATGTATATAATTTAGAGAATACAAATACTATAGTCCAAAATTCTTCACTCACTATTACCATACTCCTCTGCATAATAATTTTTCGTCAAAAACCATACGTTACTTCACAACAGAAATGGTGCATCATCCAGCAGCAATCACCAGTCATTAAAGTCTTACAACAATTAGTGGAAGCAGTTATTGCCCTTTAATAAAACCTGTTCTTCAGTTAACCTTTTCAGAGCAACCTCCACTGAACAAGGTATGGGTAAAACCTTTCCCCAAAAAAATCCTGTCTGATGAAAACCATCATAAATCACTGTTCAATCAAATTGCACAAACGCTTTGTGAACAGTATAAACTTAGTCAAATATTTGTTAAATATAAATGCATTATTTCAAATAACGGTTGCCACATACAGTATGGTGAATGGTAAAGTTTATTAATGAAATGAATTGCTCAAGTTTGATTTATTGTGGAAGTGATTTATGTTGATTTTCATCAGACATGGTTTTTGGGGGAAATTTTTACCCATACCTTGTTCAGTGGAGGTCGCTCTGAAAAGGTTAACTGAAGAAAAGGTTTTATTAAAAGGCAAATAATTGCTTCCACTAATTGTTTTAAGACTTTGACTGGTGATTGCTGCTGGACGATAGTTAAGAAGTACACTTGGTGATGGTTCTGCTTACCCCCCTGTTTCCTTTAGATTGATTATTACTACCAATTCTTGATAACTTACCAATCATTCAGGGTGGGATCGAGTAAGAAGAGGCATTAAGGCCCCATATACAGTTGTTATAAGTAAAGAACCTGGTTACTGGCTAGGTGAGACCATAACAGCAACATACTGCTGCAGTAATGATGATGAATTTTAGCATGATTGGAACGCTAATGTATTAGCACATGAAAATGTGGATAGGCAGTGATATATATACTGGTACTGTATATAAACTGGGTTTGGCTATACAGTATATAAAAAGGTAGACGGGATAGTTCCTGCTCGTCAATATGGAAATACACACTTAGGAGCAGTGTGCCATAACAGATTAATTCAGCCTGTCCAATAAAAGAAAAAAACAGAGGCATTAAGATTTCATCAGATCAACATTTATGTAACAGTATCTGTTGTTAAGTGGGAAAACTAATTACCTTGAGTAAAAAAAAATATTCTGTAGTGTTCTTTATGTTACATAAATAATCAAAGCAACACACACTTGTAATGCTTCATCTTTTATACTCTATTTGTGTTGATTATCCCTTGGACAACAACTGCGTTAGTATAGCGCTGCTCATAGGTCGAAATGTTCATAAAATTTGGTAAATTGGGTAGTGCCTTAGACATCCAGCACTAATCAACATTATATTCTCTCAGTGATACCTTGAACATCTGGCATTATAAACACATTTTGTGCCTGTACTCTAGAACATTGGTTTCCAAATACTGTTCATTGGTTTCAAAATGTGCTAAGCTTACAGTTAGTCTTGTAAACTGAAAATTTATACATACATGTTTACAAACTGAACAACTTCAGATGATGGTTCTGCACAAATTACAGCACAATTATTTTTCAAAATTTATTACAAAAATCAATTCCAGTAATTTTCACGGTCTATACTGGTCAATCATTTACACACATTTACATAACATTTATGACCATATACTGTATATATAAATACATTTTAGAAATATTGATAAGCTTTTTAAAACTGATGTCCCACAGTCACTGGATATAGCATACTGAAAATGTTTGGTGCCATTATTTAAGGACATACATTTCCAAACATTTCTACAAACATTCTTATACCAACATCAATGTTCTATCCCTATAAAAAGGTTTGCAAAAGAGAAAATTAGTCATGTACAAACATTTGACGCATCTCTGAACAAGCAGCCAAAAGGTTATTGTAGTTAACTTCAGACAGGGAAAAATGGCTGCGTGCCCCCCCCTTCCCCAAATACAAAAGTGCCGAGTAATAAATTTTACTCTTATTGAAAGTACCCTATAATTAAGTAACTTCTCAAATTACTGTAGAAAAAGTATTGGACATTAATTAGTTTATTAAAACACAAATGACAAAAGAATTACTTTTGATGGTCAAACGAGTAGGTGTTTTAAGAGTAGTCCTCATCATCATCTATCGTCTGTTGCTCTTGCTGTTGCTGCTGTGCTGCTGCTGCCTGAGCCTGTAACATCTGCCACTGCTGTTGATCAACCAACATTTGTTCTTGACGAGCCTAAAAATATATTTTTTGGCTTTAGCTAGAATTCTGGTAATGCTCTGCAATACAGTATATAAAATACAACATTCCACACTATTTTAGTCTATTCAAATTTTGTTTTAATCTATTTTTTATACTTCTGCTTTTGAGTATTTTGATCCATCTTGTACCTTATATGAACAAGTTCTGAATTTCCTTATTACCTATACCAGAATTTCCTTTGTTTAATTTGAAATGGGGCTAATCAAATATACTGCAGCCCATCTCCAGTGAGTCAGTGAGCGAGTCTTCCAGCATCATTCACCTGTACCTGTTGACTACTACAGCCCTTGTTGATTCTGATGTTCAATGTTCCTGCAGCCATCTCTGACCAGGCCTCCTGGTTGCTGGGATGATCAACAAGGCCTTTCAATGTGGCTGCCCACAGCCTGATGTATGAGTTACAGCCCGATTAATCAGGTATCCTTTGTAAGTTCTTGTCGAGTTCTCTCTTGAACACTTTAAGAGATCGACCAGTTATGACCCATATATGTAGGGAAAGTGTATTGAAAAATTTGAGCCTGTGATGTTGATCGAGTTCTCTCTGAGTACCTATTGCATATCTGCTCTTCAGTAGGGCTATTTTGCACATCCTGCCATGCCTTCTGGTCTCATGTGGTGTTATTTTTGTGTGCAGATTTGGGACCCCATATCTATGTCACCTCAACACACATACCTTTAGCAACTCTGTCACTCTGCACAGTCCTTTTATTAACTATGAAACTAGCTAAGCAAGTTAGCGCCTTGATCAGCTAAACAAATACTAGGGTTCGGTTCATGAGAACATTGTGTGTGTCTAACCTTCCCACAATCCCTCACAGGATGGGTACAGGCTGCATAATAAATGAACTAGACTCCTGCATACCAAGGCTCAACTTTCAATACTTCAGTATAGAGGCACAAGCTGAAGGGAAAACCATAAGATGAGGCGAGAGGGAGAATAACACCTGGTCAATAGACTAGGATGTGTAGTAGTGGAAAAAGTTTCAGATGCACATAATGGCTCAGGAACTGAACACTAAAGTTCATTTAACACTTTCGCGCTTTAGATTAGAGATAACTCGTCGCCGTTTTTTCTTACGATTCCGCATAACAGCCTACTTTTCTCGTCCATCGAAAAAATATTTCTATAAATTCCATTTTTTATCCAAAATGGATGGGGATACTCTCAGATTATATACGTTTTGTAGAGAATTTATTTGCGATTTTTTTGGTACCAGAATGAATATTATATCACATAAACTTCTATGAGTAAAAAAAAAAATACACAAAGTATGTTTGGGGGTGTGGCGAGCGTGTGGCAGTGGGTTCCCTTTAGCCGTTGATATATCCAACACGTGGGAAATATTTGTATGTGTTATGTATATGTCTGTGTAGGGAATTTTACTGCGATCACTGTCATACAAATTATAAAATGTTTCAACAAGTATAAACATGACAAACATCAAACGAACGAAAACAATGCATTCGTTTCTGCCGCGAACGCATACTGAGCGACATGGTTCTATATTTGGCGCTTCTCTTACACATGCTTTGTACAAATGTTATACATTTCATCTTATAGAAAATTTTATTGCGAACACATTGGTATAAAAAAGAAATACGTACATAGAAAAGTAGGGTCAGGAAACGTATAAACTTTCCAAGCATGATTTCCCCCGTGTTTTCGCCAGTGCGCTCGCGGCTAACTACTCTCCACTTCACACACTCTTGCGGGTGGGCAATTACCTATATTAAACATTCATATGCATATGTCCGTGTAGAGAATTTTATTGCGATTCCAATGATACCAAAATTAGCGATGTAAGACAACTGTAGGCTTCACAACCATTAAGAGAGTGGAAACATTTTGTTGCTGTTTGGCGCTCTCGGCGAGTGATCTGCATAGTTTTTTATTTGGTGTTGATACTCCTTATGCTTGGGCGGCATTTTATAGGTATGCTCTTATAGACAATTTCATTGCAAACACAGTGATACCAAATTTAAATACGTGCGCCTTCAATTATTGTCAGGACAGTCAAAAGAGTGCACACGTTTTCGGTCTTACCGCGTAGGCGCGCGAAGTGCCGAAAGCATCTGGGGTATTGTTTTTTTTTGAGCGCCGAGAGCGCGAAAGTGTTAACTAAGCAAGTTACAGCCTTGAGCTAGTTACAGTTTTGTTAACATATATTGAGTCTGTTCACAGTTCCTCAAACAAATGTATATTTGTGGTGAGCTAGTTACATATTTGCCTATTTTGCACCCCTGCACTCATCCAGTTTGCAGTGATGGAAAGGTTACAATCACATTCATGAACTACCTACAGTAGACAAATTTGGGATACTTCGCTAAGATGTAGAAACAAAAGCTTTTAAAAATATTACATGCATTGTCACTAAAAATGGGAGGTAGAACTTATCACAGCATTTAACAAAATTGGCAAACTCCAACACATTCTTCACAAATGTATACTTTGTGAAATAATTATGGAAAAAGGGAATACTGTAACAAACTGATAAATATCTAAAAACACACCTTTGCAAAGAGCTCTTGTTGTTGCCTCAGGAGTTCCTCTTCGGGGATTCCAAGATTTTCTAAGCGTGTACTTTTTCGTCTCTTCTTGGCAGCCATAGCTTTACAGTCCTTCAATACTGCCTCAGCATCAGCACGGTAGTCTCCAAACCCAAGTTTGTCCAAGGCTGAATTTATATCATAAGATTTAAAGTTTTTGTTCTCATTCCCTACTTTAACAAATGTATAAAACAAGTAATGAACTGTATATTAAAAAGTATGGCATGGTAAATATTTGAGTACACTTAGCCAGTATGACTATATAATGTACGAAATAAATTTGTGGATTGTCTTTTAAAATGCAAGTTGAGTGTATACTTTTTGGGAGACGACATCTCAGATGTGCAGGCGACAAGTAGTCTTTAATAAAGTCTAGTTACAAACAGGTGTTCAACATACACATATTTCATTATATACGGTAATAACTATCAGTTCTGTATAAACATTACTGCATATTAATACTGTGAACTTATAGTCACCATACAAACATTACACTAGCACAGTGAACTTCTACAGTCACCATACTTGTCACATATTCAACAAATACACACAACTACTCACACATTAATATATGTTCTGCATTTATAGTTTTCTTCTGTTGTTGATTGCATATCTCATTAGCTTCAGATGATAAGAGATGAATAAATTCAGTACAACAGTTAAGAATAAGTTCACGCGCTTCATTTGCCACTCGCACATTTGGAAGAAGCTCTTTTATCATCTTGTTCATTGCAGCCCGAGGGATGGTAAGCTCGTCATCAGGCTGATCTGTTGCTACATTCATGGCTGAAATAAGTAAGGCAATTCAAAATAGTGAAAGCACATTTATATAACACTGAATAATAATTGAATATTAAGGTATGCCATAGTATTCTGAAACAATACAGACAACACTGGTATACTGTATTGTACCACCATCAAGCTGTGCCACACTTTTGTTGTTTTGTTGTGTGTTGTTTTTTCTTTAAAGAGCGCTGTTTGTCGGCATAATTGTATTTGTGCTGCTTTTTCATCTATGTTTTCATTTCTTGTTTTCATTCTACTCATTATGCTCAATTAGTATTAAGCTTGTCATTTAAGTTTATCATGCCCGAAACGCTTTGCGTAATAGTGGCTTTAGGCATTGTATGTACTAGCTATACCTATAAGTTAAACAATCCTTGTAAATATTTATTGTATGTATGTACCTTACCTAAATAAAATTGTATTGTATTGTATTGTATTGAAATGTTGCCTGCAACTAGTCACTGTGGAATATGTTAAACTTAGGTAGTCTGGTACCTTGTTACCTACCTTGCATGTGTTACTCGATTTTTCCAGTGATAACAATGAATCATCAGAGGCCAAAGCAAATCAGCCACTATCTAAACTAGAGACATCAGGTCTGGATGTGAATAAAGTGTACACAAACACTGCTGACAATGCAAGTATAAACTCTTGCAAACATGAAAAAGTATCAAAAATTGAATATTAGAAGGGAAGGGAACTATCAGGGGAAAGCACTAAGCCATATAGAAATTGGAAGGGCTTAAAATTGGAAGGGACGTCTCTCCGTCCCAAGCGGAACGGTCGGGGACTGAACGCCGACCTGAACGAAGCGAGACCGTCGCTCTACCATCCAGTCCAAATGGTTTGGCAGTGGTAAGATACTCGCCTGGCGTTCCGCGAGCGCTTTGTCATGGGTTCGTATCCTGGCCGGGGAGGATTTACTGGGCGCAATTCCTTAACTGTAGCCTCTGTTTAATTTAACAGTAAAATGTGTACTTGGTTGTAACAACGATTCTTCGCGGTGGGGATCAAATTCCAGGGGACCTGCCCGAAACGCTACGCGTACTAGTGGCTGTACAAGAATGTAACAACTCTTGTACATCTCTCTCAAAAAAAAAAATAAAAAAATGCAAATTTTGCTATTTAACTATGTAAATTTTGCTACAGTGTACCTATTAATAATCCTCAAATTATGCTAAAATGTACCTTTTGATAATCTTCAAATTTTACTACAAATTCCCCATTTCAAGTTATGTTAGCTTAAGGACCTGCCAGAAATGTTATGAGTGATAGTGGCTGAACAAGAACGTAAACACATCAATGTTCTGTACTCTCATACACCCAATGGACCTCCTTGTAAAGAAATAAAGAAATAAAATAAATAAATATTAACAGGAGTAGTATCATTGAGTATCAAGAGTGGAGGTGGTGGCTAATGCTTAGTAACGAGACAAACGTTACCAGTAACTACTAACGAACCCGAGGCTAAGGTAGTATGGTAGACAATTACTAGTATGCTCCCTGGGTCATCACTGCCTGCCCCGCTCTCCCTCTCACACCCTCTACAGCGTCCTTACTACTAGTCAATACACAAGGTTCACCAGGATAATATTGCTGTACCTGACATTGTTGGTTCAGCGGAGGGCGCCCGTCTCTCCGTCCGTGGCCCGTGACGCTCACGGCCTGACTGGTGGCTGGCGGGGCTCCTGGAGCCTCCCTGACGGTAGTGAACCCCCATAATGATCCTGTGGGCGGTAGTGAACCCTCATAATGATCCTGTGGGCGGTAGTGAACCCCCATAACGATCCTGTGGGCGGTAGTGAACCCCCATGATGATCCTGTGAGCGGGAGTGAACCCCCATAACGATCCTGAGGGCGGTAGTGAACCCCCATAATGATCCTGTGGGCGGTAGTAAACCCCCATAACGATCCTGTGAGCGGTAGTGAACCCCCATAACGATCCTGTGGGCGGTTGTGAACACCCATAACGATCCTGTGAGCGGTAGTGAACCCCCATAATGATGCTGTAGGCGGTAGTGAACCCCCATAATGATCCTGTAGGCGGTAGTGAACCCCCATAATGATCCTGTGGGCGGTAGTGAACCCCCATAATGATCCTGTGGGCGATAGTGAACCCCCATAATGATCCTGTGGGCGATATAGTGAACCCCCCATAATGATCTTGTGGGCGGTAGTGAGCCCCCATAATGATCCTGTGGAGGGTAGTGGTCCCAATGCCCATCCTGTGGGCGGTAGTGAACCTGTACCGGAGACTAGTGCGGTGCGACACTCACCATCTGAGATACAGTGAACTTTGGCGGTTGCTCTTGCATAATAACTGGAATTTATTACCCCTCACAATGGGTATATCAAGTCCTGGGAATTGTGTCGTACCCTGAGAAGTATTATGAGTTCGAAGGAGCGTCTACTCAGCTCAAGAGATACTTCTTGGTCTTAAGAATTACTTTCTGAGTCATGCTATGAAATTTCGCCAGTGTCATGAAACATTTCCCCATAATTCTGGAAAGTTTCTCCAGAGCCTCGAGACCTATCAAGGCCCCTCCCAAGAGGTGTGATTGATATACCTTTTGATCTGCGAGAATACTCGTCTGAGCCCTGCGACTCCACCCATGAACCGTGGTAAATTGCACCGTCATGTTCATGAAAACTATCTCAGAAAATCTTGAAATTACTTGCAGACAATTGAGAACTATCAAGGCCCCCGAGGAGAATCTGGCGTTCCCTGTAAAAGACGTCCACAGGTAAGCAAGAACCAAGCGGAACAATTTGAAAGCCCTATAAGAATTATTAATGAAAATTATTTGGTACCAAATCAGATTGCTGATGAATCTGGCCAATTTTTTTCCAGTACGCATGCGCATAAAACAGTAGAGCGTATTCTCGGTAAGAAAGCTCGTATACAACATTAGATTCCACTGTTTTTTAATTTTTTTCTTGAGGTTCTTCTTCATTTTCTCTTTCTCTTTCTTCCGGCTCTTCTTGCTGTCTCCTGGCCTGACATTAGCACAAAAGAACTCACAAACAATCATCGCACAGAAAAGACCGCAGATGACGATAGCCGCCATACGTAGGAGAAACGAAGGCCATCGCCAAAAGTTGATGTTGGCAGCGTCCTTTGCTAACCCTGCCTCACCATCTGACTCAGGCAGGGAGACGAGCAAGCTGCTGTCGACCTGAGTCGCAACGTTCTTCACCGCCGGCTGGGGAGAGATCTCTTGCCCTGCGACAGGCAGTGAGGCGAGCCAGCTGCTGTCGACCTGAGCCATCATCTGTTGGATCTTCCGAAGGGGGAAGAATAGTCGCCCTACGACAGGCAGGGAGGCGAGCCAGCTGCTGTCGACCTGAGCCATCATCTGTTGGATCTTCAGAAGGGGGAAGAATAGTCGCCCTACGATAGGTAGAGAGGCGAGCCAGTTTCCTTCAGTCTGGGTCTCCACCTTCTGCTGAAAAGAGAGCAGGCGCTCTTCGACAGCGCCAACAACCTGGGCCTCCACCTGCACTTTCTGCTGGGGGAAGAATAGTCGCAGACTGTCAGGTAGAGAGTCGAGCCAGTTACCGTCAACCTGGACCTCCACCACCTCCTGCTGGAGGGTGAACAGACGCCTGACCACGGGCAGGGAGGTGAGCCAACTGTTGCCGTCTTGGGCCACCTCCTGCTGGAGGGTGAACAGACGCCCGACCACGGGCAGGGAGGTGAGCCATCTGTTGCCGTCTTGGGCCACCTCCTGCTGGAGGGTGAACAGACGCCCGACCACGGGCAGGGAGGTGAGCCATCTGTTGCTGACTTGGGCCACCTCCTGCTGGAGGGTGAACAGACGCCCGACCACGGGCAGGGAGGTGAGCCATCTGTTGCCGTCTTGGGCCACCTCCTGCTGGAGGGTGAACAGACGCCCGACCACGGGCAGGGAGGTGAGCCATCTGTTGCTGACTTGGGCCACCACCTGCTGGGCGGTGAACAGACGCCCGACCACGGGCAGGGAAGTGAGCCATCTGTTGCTGACTTGGGCCACCACCTGCTGGGCGGTGAACAGACGCCCGACCACGGGCAGGGAGGTGAGCCATCTGTTGCCGTCTTGGGCCACCTCCTGCTGGGAGGTGAACAGACGCCCGACCACGGGCAGGGAGGTGAGCCAAATGTTGCCGACTTGGGCCACCACCTGCTGGGAGGTGAACAGACGCCCGACCACGGGCAGGGAGGTGAGCCATCTGTTGCTGACTTGGGCCACCTCCTGCTGGAGGGTGAACAGACGCCCGACCACGAACAGGGAGGTGAGCCAAATGTTGCCGACTTGGGCCACTACCTGCTGGAAGGTGAACAGACGCCCGACCACGGGTAAGGAAGCCGTCCATCTGTTGCCGTCACGGGCCATCTTCCGCTGGGGAGCGAAAAACACCGTTAGTGGCATTACAGAGTAGATTTTGGACATCACTATTCTTAAGAGCATTAGAATAAACATACTTTGTCTGTAACTTTTATGTAATTTAAGAAAAATCAACTATAACCCACTGTATATTTATTGCAATTTCCAATACACGAGGAAGTAGGATGAGAGTTGGCCAGTTTAGAGTGGTAGGCCCAGTAACACCGTGTGGTGTAGTGGGGATAGGCAAGCTTGTACTGCCGCCTCACACAAATGGAAACCAAATTGAATCGGTTACAGGATATTGGTTACTCATGTGAAGCTTGTCGAGGCCTACCTACATCCCAGGGCGTGGCTGGCGGTGTTGTCACCAGGTCCATGGCAGGTTCCCTGACTATTGGCTCTATACTTATCATCAGGGGTAGGGGAAGGTGGTGAAGGGTAGGGGAAGGTGGTGAAGGGTAGGGGAAAGTGGTGAAGGGTAGGGGAAAGTGGTGAAGGGTAGGGGAAAGTGGTGAAGGGTAGGGGAAAGTGGTGAAGGGTAGGGGAAAGTGGTGAAGGGTAGGGAAAATTGGTGAAGGGTAGGGGAACGTAGTGAAGGGTAGGGGAATGTGGTGAAGGCAGGGGAAGGTGGTGAAGGGAAAGAGAATGTGGTGAAGGAGAGGGAAAATGGCGAAGGAGAGGTAAGATAGTGCCGATGATGGTCGTAGATGTGGTACCCCTGCAGTACCCGGATTACGACGATGGTTACAGTGATGAGGATGGTAGTGTGTAGTATAGATGGCTACAGTGATCAAGACTGTAATGAAGAGGTGGCCGCCCTCACAAGAGCAACACCGGGAATCCTCTCTATAATGTTTTAATAATTATATCTGCCAACCAGATAGCCCAAAACATTAGGGCCCCGATAGCACAGTCGGATTCGTTCTTGACTCACAATCGAGAATTACTGGTGCGAATTCCGGGCGAAACAGAAATGGTTGGGTGCGCTTCCTATCACCTAATGCTTTTCTTCTTCGCGATACGTGCAGTTTGCATGAAGGTTTTCCCCCGATGACTGCACGAGTGGTGATGTTGAAAGATGCGGCACTCACAGTGGCGCATTAATGTTCATAATTTGGCAGAAATTGGAAGTTACTATTGGTGTGAGGATAAAGATAAAAATATACATTTGAGTGGAAATGGACTCAGGATGGTGAAGTTGTGTTAATGGTGGTATCCAAGTGTTGATGTTTTATGAGAAGTGTGAGGTTTAATCAAGAGACTGAGTTTGTGAGTCGAAGTATGTTTGGCAGTTAGTCGCAATTCAGATAGGTAAGGGTAGATTATGGTGGGGTAAGTTAGAGTACATTACGTAACATGGGGTTAATGTGTATAAGTTAGGTTTTCGGGCATTTAGGTTAGGTTAGGTTGGGGATAGGTTAGTTGAAGATAGGTTATGTTGTTCTATTTCAGAGTTTCAAGCCAGAGATGTGATTACCTCGGTCATCTTTGACGTGCCAGTAGTACACCGTGTTGAATATCTGGGAGTGGTTGGAGGATATGTAACGATTCTATTGTTACGTAAAGTATGGTGACAAATAAACACAGACACTAAGATACTATATATATATTTGGTCGAATATACAGAAGTACACAGGTGATACGTTGGTGTGAGTTGAGCGCACTGAGCGTTGGTACAGTATCTCGCAAGTGTCTGCTCTAGACCACACTTGAAAGTAGACTAGTTAATGTTTGATTGATTGATTGATGAAGATTAAGCCATCCAAAAGGTGGCACGGGCATGAATTGCCCGTAAGTGGTGGCCCTTTTGAGCCATTACCAGTATCGAGAGCTGATACTGGAGATCTGTGGAGGTGCGAATGCACCCTGCATGACGGGAGATGTCTCCTTTGTGAATGTGTTAAGATGAAGATGAAGCCACCCAAAAGGTGGCACGGGCATGAATAGCTCGTAAGTGGTGGCCCTTTTGAGCCATCACCAGTATCAATAAATGATACTGGAGATCTGTGGAGGTGCGACTGCACCCTGCGTGACTGGAGATGTCTCCCGTGAGTTAATGTTTGCTATTCTTGCTGCTTATATTGCTCGAGCAACACCTCACCGTGTTGCCCGGGCAACGCCTCACCTCATTCATCTCCAAAGGTTGACAGGAATATTAACACTATATTTGGAGCGAGTATATTATTGGGATAATCTACTCGCTACAGAACTCCCCCTCCCAGGGGATGAAAGGAAAAATACTTGATCAAGGAACTTAGCTGGTCGGTGAATTGTACGCCCTGCTCGCGTTACATAACCATCAAAGTTAACTTCCTCCTCTTCGCTGATGTCATCTAACTGGGGTCGTAGGGTGGGAGGTCGTACAGGATCGTCCGTTGTCGTAGGTGGCGGTGCTGCTGGTAACTGTGGTCGAAAAGTGAACTGCGTAGTCGACGGATGTGTCTCTGGATTTAGCAGTGTCGCAGACGTTGAGACGAAGCCTGGAGCAGAGAGCTG